GCTGCCCTCTCGGCGGGCTCTGCCGCCCTCTCTCCGCCCGCAGGAGCGGAGGGACCCCTGGGAAAGGCCGGTCCCCGGGGCTCAGTTTTCACAGCATCCCCGGCCGGCAGCCGCTGGGTCCCCGTTCCTCCGCCGATACCGGGATGCCCCCCCAACCCCAGGGTCTGGGACGGGACTGCCGCCGCCCCCAGCCCGCATGCCGCGACCCTGCCAACAAGCCCTTCGCGCTTCGGTCTCCCGCCGGTGCCCTGCCTGCCCCCGTAACCCCGGGGAGTGAGCGGGGCCCATCCCTTTGCCGGCAGCCCCCGCGGAGAAGCGGCCCGGGCTCCTGCCGGCTCAGTTGCCATAACGACTTCAGAGAGGGCTCCCGCAGAAGCAGACGCTGCTGTTTCCCCGCTGCCGGTTTGAGAGGAAGGCCCCCCGTTTGTACGGCAGACGTACCGACCCACCATGCCTCAGAGCTAGCCCTGATGGGTGACCCCATCCCTGGCTCAGATCTGAGCCCTGCCGCCTTGTGCAGCAGCACCAAGCTGCTGCTCACTGCTGGCAACAGGCACTATTAAAGATCCACCTGGCAAAAGAGCAGGGCCTACATACAGTGAACGAGTCCCAAATCCCTGGTCCTGAATTCCCTGGAACAAGTTCCCTGGCAAGCAATGACCCGTCTATGCACCCTGGTTTGCTCATTCCCTCCCCATGTGGAGGCTGGTTTGGGGAAAGGTCTTCTTACCCCAGCGCCTGTCCTCTGGAAGTAGCTACTCATGCTACCTGTCTGCCCCTGGACATGTAGCACCTGCCCCTTCAGGGTCCCAGTGGCTCCCTGAGTAAGCCCAGTGCTTTTCTCATTTACAGAAGGACAAATGAGGCAGAGACTTTCAATTTTCTAAAGGAGCTGAGAATGGCCCCAGCCATGGCCTGGAACAGCCCTTCCTTCCCCTGAGGTGGGGACACAAAAAGCTCTGGGAGTCCTGATCCTCCTTAGAGACCAGGAGGTTTCAGCCCTGTGCTCACTCTGTTCTTGAGATCCTGCTGTGAAATAGAAGTGTGGCACCTGGCAGGGAGTCAATATTGCCCCTGTAAGTGAATGATTGTGACTGTATTTGGCTACAAGGAGGCTTTTTGAAATAGTGGTCTTGGTCTGGATAGGAGGTGAGGGAGCATCAGTGAGCAAGGGAGCGCAACGCTCAATTACATCTGGCCTTCGTTGAAGGCTTTCTGTGCCAAACCAGACCTGGCTGGGAGCCCCCAGCTTGTGTTAAGTCCATGCTTGGAGGAGCTGTGTCTTGGAGGGCTTATAATCTTTCCTGAGCCACATGTGTGCTGGGCTGGCAGGTGGGACCTGTTCTGGTCCCTTACCAACTCTGCTTATGCTTTTCATTTCATCTGATCCAGCTGGGCTGGCTGAGTCCCTTCCCCAGAAGTCTGCTGGTAGCAGGGCTCAGAGGAGGGCTGAGAATCAGCCCAGACAGATTCTGGGTACCACAGGGAGGTTGGGAGGCACTGTTATAACAGAGGCAGAAGTGAGACATGGCTGTGTTTGCTTGGCCTCTGTTGCATTCCAACCTTTTCTTGCACTGCACGTGGAGAAGATCCTACGTTTAGGATCTGGCGCCAAGGCAGAGTCTCAAGGGTTGGCTAGTGCAGAGCCATCTCTGCTGAGCCACTCATGGCACTATTCAAGAATCACACCTAATCTAGCTCACTGCAGCCTGCTTGCAGGACAGCAGTCCTTGTGCTAAGACTGGGGCACTGCAGCCTCTCAGGTGGTGCTGGCTCTTTTCCAGATACAGTTCTCGGGGTCAGTATTGCCATGGGAAACAACGAACAGCTTTTCAATGCTGCAGCCTGAAAACAAGTTTCCTAACAGAACACCACAGTAAGTGCAGCAGGGTGCTTGTTCCAACAAACCTTTTTAGCCCCTGAGCTCAGTGTAGCCCTGATTTTGCTGTTTCAGCATTTAGAGGCATGCAAGCAAGATGGAGAAGAGAAGGGTGAACATGACAGCTGTGTCAGGGCACAGCAAGGGTGGCTGTCTCTGAAAGGGAAGAAGCCTCCTTAGTCAGTGACCAGCCACTCAGTACTTAAACAGTACCCAGTGAAAGCAACCAGGGTCAGGCACAGCCCTATGGGTTAACAGGCAAGGCCATGGTGTCACAGTAGGGCTGAAATCAACAGTACTCATAGGCCAGTATGAGTCTAGCTTAACTGAGCTAAGTTGAAGACCAGCATTCCTACAACATTTCTTAACAACAACCAAGAGCCCCAGACTGAGCTTAAATAGAGTCCTGGGCCTATGGGCGGGACTGGTGGAGGCTCCAGGTGAGGCTGGTTAAGGCCACTAAGGTTTATTAGTGCCCCCAGGGCCTTAGCAGCTGTTTGTCTGTGGTAGAGCTAGTAGGTTGGTTGGTTTGAGGCTATGGCTATTAAGCTGTATGTGTTGTGTACTAGGTATTGTGGGCAGTTTCCAGCTGTAAAATGATCAGATTTCTCTTTCTTCTCTACAGGTTGCTGCAGATGTAGAAAGAGCATTAGAGCCTATTACTGCATTGTAAGGGTGCATGCTTTACACCATCAGGATGTCCAGTGGAGCTAGCAACCTAGGACTGCACCAATGGTAAGGATACCTAGTCAGTATTACTTTTGTGCTTGTGTCTGTAAAGTTTTCCTATAGTAGAATGGTTGTGGTATGGCTGTACAGCACTGCAGTACAGGGCTTGGGTAGTGTTATCTACTGTATCTTAGCACTGAAGGGAAAACTCAAAGTAAGTAAGCTTGAAGGACTAGAGCTTTGGTCTCCTCAGTCAAGAGTTGCAGCAAGCTTTTGCTGTTCTGATAAGATATGCTTTGCCTAAGGTGGGTCTGCATTTGTCTTGAGAGGTGTTTCTAAGTCTGCTTTTTAAGCTTCTGCTAGGTGCATGTTTCTAGTTGAGTCCTAATACTGCAAACTGCTCTGCTAAAACAGCTTCCTGAGTTGGCCCTAATGTCAGGGAGATCCTATAAGACCAGGGGAATTCACCTTGCTAGTCAAGCAGTAGGATGAGGGCAGAGCTTAGGCTAAAAACTTTCTGCTCTAAGCTTGGATAGCTGCCAGCTTCTAGATTTTAAAGAGGATGTAGAAAAGATTATCACAACTATTCTTGTAAGACTAACCAATTCTCTTAATTTATTTTCTAAAAAGGAATAAAGAAGGCTTGTGGTCCTGTTCATGTGCAAGTGTACTAGTGTCTGTAAGTGCTATGAGTTCAGGGGTAAGCCTCAGGACATGAGAGATGAGGAAATGGAGTTGATTGACACTTAAGTTAACCCAACTGGCATGGTTTCAGTATATATCCTGTTAGGTCTATGGCACAGTGTGTGTCTGGTGTCATTCAGGCAGCCCCAGTTCCTAGCTTAAAGAGGGTGCCCCTTGCAAGATCAATGAGGTGAGCTTAGAGGTGCTTCCCTTCCAAAGGGGAACTGTATCTGCTGTGATTCACCAGGCATATGATCATCACTTCTGTTTTGTCCCCTCGTAAGACACTGTTTTGGACAAAGTGTGTCTGAAGCTGCCTGTTCCTAGAAGCAGTGCTGGCTGTGACACCTGCAGTGCTTGCAGGGCAGCTGGGGAAATGTACTGCGCAGGTACCTTCAACAACCAGGGAACACTGGTCAGTCCCATTGCTCTCCTGTTATCGCAGTGGCCACTGATGTCTTGTGAGGGAAAGCAGGGTTCTTGTGTCAGGCCTTGAGCTGATCTATAGTGACAAGACACCCAGCTGAGCCCTGGGAGGGAGAAAGCAGATTAACTCACAACTGCTGCTACAGCTTTCTTATATCTTTCTTGGAAACATATGGTGCTGGCTGTTCTTGGAACCAGGGCAGGCCTTGGGTCTGATCCTGCTGTCATTTCTATCCTCATGAACATTCCCCTGAAGTGAACAGAGACTTCAGCCAGCTCCACTGCTGTGAGGCAGTGCTAGTGACTAGCTGTACTTTTGAAGAGTCTAGAGAAGCAGTTTGGTTTTGGCTTCATCCTTTAGGAAGCAGGGGTGAGTTTTAGGGAACTGGGGCCTGAGGGAGGGGAGTCTTGTGGTTAGAAGAGCTGACCTCAAGTCAGGAATACCAGGCTTTGGTTTCTTAAGGTGCTCCTGATTCGCCAGTTCATCTTGGGCAAGTCTTCCCCACTCATGCCCCTTGAATTTTCCCCTGCATTGAAAATGCAGTTATTTCCATGTCAAAGGTATATTAAGGGGTTGGCTGGGTTTCCTTGATTAAAGATTAGTATGATGTCAAGTCAATGCTATCTATCACCTGGTGTTGATGGCTTAGCACTTTGCTGGTTAAACAACTTTAGTTTTGCAAAGACACTGGGGGCATTTCCTTTACAGTTTTCTACTAGTCTCAAGTGGGGCAAGATGCAAGGTCTTCTCAAGGACACCAGTAGCCTGCAGTGTTCATTACTTAAGATGTGAGGGCTGGGTGCATGCAGCACCCCAGAAGTTGAGTCTCTCAACACTGTTTTTCCTTGAAATCTCACTAGGTTCTTTCAAAGGATCTGACTCCATATTCTTTCTGGCTGCAGGATGAGTCTGACACACTCCATCACTCTTAGAGTTGGAGTGGACCACAGCTGGTCTTCTTGGTTACATGGGCGAAAGTGTTGAACTTAGAGCAAAGTGCTCTCAGTGAGTGCTGAGATTGCACAGTGCCACCAGGAGCCACTTTTAAGGTGGTGAAACAGGAACATATGATGCCTTCTGTTCAGCTCTTTCCTGTATGTGCCACCTTCCCCTTTCTCTTACTGAGAAGAGAATCTGAGTCAGGGCTAAAAAAAAAAAGTGAAGCAAGGCCAAGTTGTGCAAGTCAGGGTTGGAAGAGTAACATGCTCGAGGAGCTCCCAGCCACACACCAATGCAGGGCTGTTCTGTAGCATCCCCCTCATAAATCCACTGCTTCCAAGCTTTTGGCATGTTCTTTGCATGTGTCTCCACACACCTCCATGGTGGCAGGTTTTGCTTCATTTCCTCACTATAACTGTGATTACTGCTTCTTCATTGACCTTTTAGGGTTTCCATAGCTTTTTTTACAATTCTATATGTGACCACATTCTCCCTGTGGTGGGTCAGGCTGTGTGTCTGGGGCTTGCTGTTTCTTTTCTGCATAAGATACTCCCTGTATTCATTGCTTTTACTCTCCCTTACACCCTTTCACCTTTCTCCATGTGAATCTTGAGGCTGAAGGTGGGGGAAAGGGATCACTGCTTACTGTTGCAGAGATTAGTTAGAGAGTAGGTCCAGAGATCTGTGCTGCAGCACAAGCCATGTCCTGGGGATCTACACCAGAGAACTGGTGATACGAATTGTTTCGGACTAAATTTTTCTCATTGGTGTAGTGACTCACCATGGTGAGGTGGATCTGAATGACCTGCTGGCAGCCAGGAAGCTCCATCCTCAGTGGAGTCTGCACCCCACCAGACAGAAATTTCTTGCTTTCCTTCAAGACCATCTTTTCCCCGAGCATCTTTTTACCATGAGATACTCCCACACAATTGTTCCCCTAACTGTTGTGTAGGGAGATTATTTATGGCTCAAGCTGTGCTGAGGCCCCACCTCCCACATCCTCAGGACAGGTTTTACCATGCTGGCATTTCTGCCTTCATCTTGAATGAGCAATGATGGTGCAGGTGGAAGCCTGCTTGCTATCTGACTGGGACAGAGTCTGAGGTGATTTCTGTAACAGCAGGTGTTCCTGGGGTGTTACAGAAATATTTTGTTACAGCTCACTCTGAGGCCCAGCACACAGAGTTTGCTACCTCCTCTCTATACGCCTCTGCTTTTTCAAGCTTGGGTCCCTCCTGCAGAAAGGGGGAGCCCCAGGTTGGGATCTGGGACAGTGGGGAGGGCAGGCAGCAGCTACCCCTCACATAGACTGTAGTCTGCACTGGCTCTTCTCTCTGGTAAGTAATTTTGGAGTCTGTGTCCTTTTTCAGAGTGCTTTACACCCTTGAAGAATCCTGCTGTGCTCCCATGTGCCTGCCCCATGCAAGAGAGCTACAAGGTGCACAGGACAGTGCAGGTGTGCTTTCCCTGATCCAGGTCTAGGCAGAAACCTAAGGGGGGGGGGGGGGGGGGG